ACAACTAGTTCATTTTTCGTGTGTTGCAAACTTGTTGGGAATGAGATTCCCTACTGTTTATAGCTCATGAGTAGTGTGACTTTTTAGGGTTTTTATATGGTATATAGTTATATATACAGTATATATATAATATTTTTTGCCTAAATATTTAAAGTGCACTCGTGATCAAATTTGGTCTGATTAGTATCCAAGGTTGTAAGGAGTGATTGGGTTTTTGTTGGTAGTTGGTGTTGATTCACTCAATTTGTCTGAGATGACTGACAAAATGAATACTTGATCCCTGACAAAGTGATACTTGATCCTGTATTTTGGCTGTGACTTTCTCCACTTTTTTGTGTATCCCACTTTTATGTTGGTTTGAGCAGTGGAGAAGATCGGAATATGTCATTAGTTGTTGGGGTTGATAGGACAATCATTTCAATACTATGGCAGGTTTGTTAGTATATGACTATGATTACTGGCTGCAAATGTCTGAAGCAAAAATTTTGCTTACCATTGCAGACACTTTGCTTTGCCTCGTTTGCTGGCATTCTTCATTTTTTTTTTACCATAGTAGATAAACTTTTAACAGTCATACTGTTAGTTGTTGGCTAAAGCCAAGTACAAATCATTTAGTTATAAAACATGAGGATTTTAAAAAAATTAATGTAGAGATTCTTGTCTATATCTCTGCATTTACTTATGTATTTGCTTGGGTAAGGTAACCCTTCTTTATATCACATAACAATCAACTGATCTAAGAGAATGCTGTGGTTCCTTGAAGATCTTTCAATAGTTCTAAAAATATGTCTCATGTTAAATCAACTTGTCAAAAAAAAAAAAAAACTTGTCTCACATAACAATGCTTTTACAATCGAGTTTGTTTTTCAAGTTTAATTTTGTAAATAGACTGATTTCTTTCTTTTAATATTCTTTCTAATTTTAAAGACATGTAAATTTGAATTTTCATTGTTCTGTGTTCTCACTGCTTACTTTGTAACCTGTCAATCTTACATGTTTGTTCCCTCTAATTTTATTTCATTTCTTTGTTCCTAGTCTGTCAGCATTAACGAGTTTCTGAAGCCTGCTGATGGGGAAAGGCACTACTCAGGTGGACGTGGTAGGGGGCGTGGTCGCGGGTCAAGAGGTTATGCTGGAAATGTGGCTGGCAGCGTACGTGCCCCATCAATTGAGGATCCTGGGCAGTTTCCTACATTGGGTGGCAAGTGAGGTTGTCTAGAACCTTGCTGACATTTCCTTGTCCTTTATTCGATTTTGTGTCATCTGCTTTGAACTAAGTCAGAAGTTGCCATGGTAATTGGATTTCTTGCATCAGGAGGGTTATTTAATTTCATCTTAGAATGTAAATTTAGGTTCATCATACGGTCTGCTATTCACTTGTAGCCTTTCCCCCCAATTGTTATGTTTGGCATCTGCTGTGTTGAAGTTTTGGGGGTATGTCGTGGCGGATAAGACATAAATGTTGCTGAGTCTGCTTTTATTTATAAGATTGATTACTCAGTTTTGCTTTCAAAATCTGGTTCCCCATATCATAGTCAAGGTAAAATTAGTCAGGGAAGTTTCATGTCATTTAAATTAGTCTTGAATAGGAACTGCTGAAACTTTTCTGGTTCAAAGAATTTGGCTTAATCTGAAGTGGTGAATTCACCTTCAGAGTTGGGATTGCCCAACCATTGGTTTGATGTTTCTGAAATGGTTTTGGTTTTCAGCTTACGTCCGGCAAAAGTTCATTTGAAGGATCCAACTATTTGTGGAATTTAACAAAGTCATATCCCAAATGTGATTTGAATGTATTTCAAAAGTTATCCAAAAAGTCTATTCATCATTTTCTTTGAAAATGACTATCTGATGGCATTTTGGCCTTAAATGTAGAGGGGAAAGAGTAGATTACCTTGTTTGGTGTGTAAGAGGCACACTTGGGAGTGCAAAATTCCATCAGATGATGGAATCTGGCTTTTTCTGAGGCGATGTAATGCTTTTGATTTTCTGGAGGTTTTCTTTGGACAAAAGTACCCTTGCTCAAAAATCAAATTTTCAAGCCTTGCCGTCTCACTTTCCATGCCCTTGCAATCCTAGACGCGAGCTACCACCATTCAGGCTTTCAGTCTTAAACGCTGCTTGTCACCGTTCTTGCCTTCGCTTTCCTGTTTGACTTGGCAATGTAGAGCTTCCATGCTTTTTTCCCCCCCTTTATTCTCAGGTAAAAAAAAGTAGTTTTATGACGAGGGTATTCAAGTCGTTTCACTCCATTATTTATTTTATTTTAGGATTTCATTAATTTTTTTCCTTCATACCAAATGTGCTTTGAGAGCCCATTTTCACTTTCTTAGTAACATTCTATACTAAAAATCCTTCAAGCAAACACAATAGGGTCTAAGAGTAGGTTTGGTATAAGAAAAGGTTACTTGGATAGGGTAAAACTGAGAAATTGATTTTATATTTTGTGGATAATAAAGTGGGTTTATTTATCTATGAAAGTTGAATCTAGTAGGAGGGGTATAGTTCCTTGTAATGTTATGGTGAACTAAAATTTGAGTTCTTACTTTGTGCTTTGAATAAAATTGTTTTTAATTAAAAATATTTGTGCACTATATTTGAAAGTAGCTTTGAAAGAACCAATGAGAATTGGGTCTTACAAAAATGGTTAATTCTTTATAATGTTATAAATTGATATTTAAATTTTCATTGAAAAAGGTGCTTATGTGTGATATTTGATAGTGTTTTAAATAGGATTGTCTTTAATAAAAAAATATTTATGAATTTAAAAAAAGGGGGGCTGTGGAAGAAAATTTCATGTGTTTTTTTATTGCCTTTTTCTTCAATTTTTTTTTTGCCCTTTTTATTTTGTGCCAAATGGACGCTGGCTTTTATGATGGCGAGAAGAGATATCTTTTTCTTTTTCTTTATTGGTTTTTGAAAAAGATTTTTTTTTTCTTTTCAAGTTGGTATGCAAGTGTCTGCTGTACCTATATGCTAGAATGAATGTAGGAACTTTTGTCATTGACAATGACGCTGCACCAACATCTTCTCTTTTGCTTCACATTTGAGGAAGTCCTCTTGCTTTCCTTTCTCTATAAAAGCAATGGAAAGGATGGGTTTTCAATAAAAAGAACAAGTTCTTGACCGAAAAAAAAAGAAGAGGTTTTCATGAAATTTATTATATTTCTATTATATCCATCCTCGCCTTAGTCAAACATTCTCAGAATCTTGAGCGCCAGCTCTCCAACATTTTCATGAATCATCACTCAATGCAGTCAAGTCTTTCAAAGGGTTGATATTTTTAAAATAATAATATTAATTAATATTTTAAAAAAATTAAACACCATTATATTGAGCCACTACCGAACATGACTGTTATCATCTAGGTTTTTCGTTAAAACAAAGTGACTGTTCACTAGAACAATACACTCTCCTTCCGATCTCTAAATGTAAGACAAATTTAGACAAATTTTGTAAACTTGACAAAATTGGAAGTGTTCTTTTTTTGTTTTGGACATAAAGTGAAGTTAGAGTAATTAATGTTTTTCTCCCCAATTTACTTATTCATTTGTTGTTGTTTGAATTCTTAAACAATAATAATTATGGTTTTTAATTGCAAAGAAGGGCAAAATTATAAATGCACATATATTTTTTACATGTAAAATCAAGACGACTTCTATATCAATGGTGGTTAAGTCTAATGAGGCTGGTTACCTATAACATGATAAATCAATGTTTGAATTTTAAATGAGAACAGTGCCCACATTAAATAGCTGATTGTGCCTTGAATATTTTAATAAGAAGACATTAATATACAATAATAAAAAAAAAGACCTCTACGATTAAGGAGAACAAATGTGTACATCCAATTCATGGGATAGATAACAGTTTAATGGCAATGCAATTTTCCAGATTCCTTGTTGATAAGAGAGTTGAGGTTTTCAATCCTATTCACAAGCCGTTAACAAAGAGGCTTTATCTCCCTCTCTCTCTCTCCATATACATACATACATACATACATACATATATATATATATATATATATATAAAATTTCTATTGCTTTTTAAAAAACAAAACTATTTTCAAAAAACTATTTAGGATATTTTTAAAATTAACCTTCATGAGACAATTTTTTTTTTTTTTGTGGTGGTAAAAAAGTATTCTATTAAATAAAGGAAAATGATTACAACAAACAAAAAGTCTAATGAGAATAGTTGAACCACCCAATTAGGCACATCAAACTAAAAACAACGACAACGATACAACAAAAGCAAGATAACCATTCAGCGAGCTAATCCAAGAACTGATTATCTAATAAAAAGACCTATCATTGATTGATATATCTCCAATATATAAAGCACAATGGGCAGTGATTTTAAGATACTTCTAAACCTATTTGCCATTCAAATTCCCCGATGGAGTTGAAGGAAATATGAAGCATATTGGTTATTCATGCATGATCATGAGGAACAAAGTGGTCATGAACTGCAGTGTCAACAGATTTTTTGATTGTCAAAGTGAGAAACTTAATTTCAGGAGACAAAACTTCTCACACTAAAAATTAAGGATAAATTGGCCCAGTAACCAAAAATACAAATTATGCCTTAAAATATAAATCAAATTTTTGAAACTTAAGAAATATAATTAGTTTACATTGATAAATTATCAATAATATACAATGAATTTATCATTAACAATTTAAAAATTTAAAAAACATTTATCATTAATATACAACAAAATATCATTAACAAATATAATAAACAACCATAATACAAAATTTAATACATATTAGATTAGATGTTTAATTTGACTTTATAACATAAACTATATCTGCAAAAGCCCCAAAAATTAATTACAAAGACATTTTAATCCAAAATTTTTTATTTTTTATATAATTAATTTTTTTTGGGTAGAAAAACAGATTAAAATTTGAAAATATATAAAAACGGTAGGAGGGGTCCCTGACCTGAGAGCCAAAAAATCATTTTTTGAGGCAGAGTCCAAGTCCAAAATCCACATAAAAAGCAAAAAGGTGTCAACTTGCAATTTAAAGGACGAGAATATTATCATCACAGTATATTACCATCCCTGAATAAAATATATTTTGCACAAACCATAACCATCAGCAAAGTCTATACTAAAGAATGGGATCATCCAGGTCAGTTCCCAAACCACAAGGAATTCAATTCTATGACATTGATCCACTACTTAGTGAAATAACAAACAAATCTTACATCATTACACGCATCAGAGAAAGAGAGGCTGACCAAATGAAATGGGACTAAATAATAATAACACTGGGGGCTAAGAACAGCACCCACTTTTCTGGGCAACAGGCTGTCCTCTGATCTGCACTGTTGGAGGCCTTGCATTATTACTGGCTGGTTGGCTTGCCATTCTGCACACAAAAGGATGAAAGTCACCATCAAATAGCTCTCTTGGTAGACATTGATAGTTAGTTACATAAAAAATTGAAATAACTAATCACAATGGTGGCGATATGCTTGGATTATTAAGAATGTCCCAAATAGGAAGAGAATGACGTGTGTGACTTAACGTGTGACTTAAAACATTCCATCAGTTTGGATCTCAATCCAAATTTTCATTGTCCCTCATCCAGCTTCCAGACATAATTTTTAATAATCAGATAAATGGTAAAGCGCAGACCCTAATGTTTAGAAAAGGCTCGCTGCCCAAGGAGCCGTCAATAATTTCATATCAACTATACTCTGTGCCAAAAATATTCTCTCCTGATATTTTTCTACACACACACATTGCTATTTTTACTCGCAACAAACAAATTATTGAATTTTTCATGTGATTCAGTTAGTTTCTTTCATCAAAGCTTCATTTGCCTTTCCATATCTTAAAAAACGAAGTGTTGTAAGTACCTATCCTTGATTGCAGCAGCCATGGCCATGAATGCCTGTTCCACATTCGTAGCATCCTTTGCACTTGTTTCCAGGAAAGGGATGCCAATTTCATCAGCAAATGCCTACAAAAGAAAAGCAAAATAAAAATGGTAACATGAGGGCAAACAATTGGAATGAGACAGAAATATCCGGCAACAGCTAAATGCATAAACACAATTGAAACTGATTCTTTAGCTGAAAAAGAACAAAAAATAACAGATGGCAAGACTATACTTTAGCTGTTTCATATGAGACAGCTCTATTATCTTTAAGATCGCACTTGTTTCCAACCAAAAGTTTGTTAACACTATCACTGGCATAGCGATCAATCTCGCTGAGCCACTGCTTGACATTATTGAAGCTCTCTTGGTCTGTCACATCATAGACAATCTGTGGCAGAGAGAAACCAGTCAGCTGACACATGAAAGAACCCATAGAAGAGAAAAATCTTATATAGATGAAAATGAATGTCACGAGAATCATCACTCACAATGATCCCATGTGCCCCACGGTAGTAGCTGCTGGTGATTGTCCGAAATCGTTCTTGTCCTGCAGTGTCCCACTACAAACAAAGCAGATTGAAATCAGGCAATAAACAATCTGACAAACTAATCTCGTGTTTCAGTTATGCAAATTGTCCATAAACATGAACTTATGAAAGGGAATTCTTATAAAAAACATATCATTCGCATGGGAGGATAAATTGAATAAAAATTAAAATACAAAGCAGCAGCCTCTTGAAAATATAACAGCATAACATAAGCCAATTAGATACATACAATCTGAAGTTTAATGGTCTTCCCATCTTGCTCAACAGTTCGTATTTTCTACGCGGAAAAGAAAAAATGTCAGCTCATAGAAACATTCCAAATCAGTTCAAGCTAAAACTTCGAGAAGTTGTACTCACAAAATCTACTCCAATAGTGCTTATGTAACTGTCAATATATGAATCATCCTGTAGTCAAACACAGAAGTTTAGCAACTTAACAGTACAAATTACCGCATTTAGATCTATGGAGTATGTATTATCACTATGATCAAGCAAACGTGCAGTTGACTGCATTGAGTACGAACCTTCCATAACATCAAACATGTTTGGAAAGGAGAATTTTATTAGAAAAGGAAAATTAGAAGAAAGAAAAAGAAAAGCATAAAAACATATCCTACTGACAGAAAGCTACAGAAACATGAAACAAATACAATGACATCGACATAAAAGAACAAGCCAGTCACTCCACATGTCTTCCTTTGCCCAAGGATATAAAACAACCAGGCAACATAAAATAGGCGTACTGCAGTTTCTAAGACAAAACCATAAGCTAGGAAGGCCCTGTTTGGTCTACCAAATTGCAACATATCAATATTAACATACTAAGTAGTTCTGTCCAAATAAATTACTTAGTCTTTCGTTTTTTTTTTTTTTGCTAGAAATAAAATGCCAGTCATATAGAGGAAACTTCAACATTTCTAAGAGGCTTTTACAAGGTGATTTTATCACTGTTTAAAAACTAATCCATACATTTTACTTGGCTTAAACCCAGGGCCACATAAGTTAGACAACTAGTCCGGTTTAATCAGAGACCTGAACTGTATACTGATGTAAACTGATTCAGTTCGATGAATGGAAACTCTGAACCATTGACACTGATCTCACCAAAAAGGCAAATGAACTTAATCAAGAAAATATAAATGGGGTTTCAATGCTGTTGGTTGTCGATTGTTTAGACTACAATAAAATTGATTTTCCAAGCAGACAAAAAAGAGCCTCATGTTTGGTAGAAAATCTGGTTTGTTGATTTTTTTGGTTTGCCACCTGAGTGGTAGAAAGGCTGGATTTTTTTTTTTTTTTGGGGCAGGGGCGGGTAGAGAGAATAGTGCCAAGAATACAGATGACAGAGTTAAGAGCATCTCAAAGGGGAACACATCCATCCAATCCCAAGGTCTTCAAAAATCTATGAGAGCTAACTTTAATGGCATCCAACCTATCCAGGGTAAAACCATAAAACTGATGCCATATAATAAAGGTCTCTTTCTTTAGAGGGAGGGAACAATCGTAGTTGCTTTCAACCAAAGCAACACTATTGGACAATTTATCAGGAACTAAATCCTTTTCATGAACTGATGGTATCTGGTAGAGGCCTCTTTCTTGCCATTTCCCCCAATTAAATAAAACTATTGGAAGGATGTATTAACATTCTTTGGGAAGAATAGAGGGAGGTAACAAAATACTGAAATGATTTCAAGCATCCACTCAATAGCGGGCATGTGTTTAAATACAAACAAAGGAAGAGAGATGATATGTTTCCAAGACAGCCTCACGGTTAGCTCAAGAATTCATTCTTTCATTTCTTGGGTTAACAAAATTGTAACGCAAAATAAAACCAAGACCAAAGAACAGAGCATGCAATATTTATTGGTAAAATGTTGCAGCTACAAGATACTGCACTGATCAACACAAAGGAAGTTTCAAAACATGTCAAGACACATTTTTCTAGAAGTGAAGAAAGGCCTGGTAAACCGGGGGCAAAAAGAACAAAATACCATGTCACAAAAAAACAGGTAGTAGTAAGAGATACTAATTAGCATCACATGAAATAAAATAATAATAACTTACAGCAAATCTCAGAAGAAGACATGACTTGCCAACACCAGAGTCTCCAATAAGAAGGAGCTTGAATAAATAATCACTGCAATGAAGCCAGAAGTTCATTAACATTCTCAATTAAAATAGATGTAATTTCATTAAAGAGTAGCCATGAAATGTTAGCATGCACTTATTCATAAGTGATTGATTATTTAAAAAAATATCTTATAAAACTAACTCATATCTAAAATATGTGTGTGTGTGTGTGATTGTTTAAGAGAATATAAATGCTTAGATACTTGAGTATTTGTATTGCATAACCAATGTAAATTATCCACAAAGCTTACCCATTCATGTTTTCCTCAAGTCCTTACCTAGGGGATCATTATTGTGTTCATTGGCAAATGGGTATATAGAAAAGAGATCATGGATAGCAAGGTGAAGTTGAAACATAGAGCCTCAATATGAATTCGCACCACACCAGAAACTGTTACAGTTGACAGCAATTGTAATCTAAAGATGGGTAGATGATATACAAGCCCCCCTAATTTTCAGATTTAGGAAGACTGGTAGTAAAGTCAAACCATATAGCAAATACATCTTCCACGAGGGACTCGCCAAAACAAAGAGACAACTCTGCCGTAATTTAGGCTTCAGAGGTAGTAATTATATAACACAATCGTATGTCGGTGCAGCTATCTGTTGATTCCAACATCGAATAATACCAGAATTCAATTCAGTCAATCGGGTCTTGTTTAAAAAAAAAAAAAAAAAAAGAATCAAGCCATTCGGTGTAACGATAAATATAATATTCATATCCAATCTAATCAAAATTTTAAGCAAGGCAAGAAAATTACCAACAAAAGTGATAAATTTTTGTTCCAAGATAAAAGGGGACAAAATTGAAAGAACCCATTTCAATCAGAAAACAAGCATTCCAACATAACCCATGGTTAACTGTTACTAGAATTTCAACCCCATTAATCGTATCTGGTTTCATAAAGTTGATCAATCTAGGGTTACGCACGAAAATCTTCGATCAAAACAGCCAACCAACCCAGAAGCACCATCAAACTACAACCGCACTTACTCTCCACGAAAAGAACAAACAACCCGGAATAAAAATAAATCTGCCGAACGTAAATAACGATGCTTCAGGTCCCCCAAAAGCATCGATACCGATACGAAATTGAAGATCAAAAAAGAGATGGATAGAGAAACATACTATTCAGGATTCATGTCGGTTAAGCGAATAGGATCCCCAAACGTTAGCAGAATCGCACCAGAAGAGGAGGGCAGAACTGGAGAGAACCCTTCGTCTGATGCTCGTGCTTGTTATAAAAGAAGACTTAAACTTGTAGTCTTGTGATTAAACAACTTTTTCCCCAATACATACATATCCACATACATACATATATATATATATATATATATATATATTATATGAGTTTTCAATGTAAATGATGATAATTGTTATTTGTGAGAACCAGACGACACGATGCCATGTAAATATTCCAATTTTTTTTAATATATATGAATTATATATATATATATATATATATAGAACTTATAAGTTTGACGTGACAGTAATTTTTTTTATTTTCAATATATTATAATTTATAAGAAAATATTTACTTTTTGCTTGCAGGAACAATTTCTTTTTGTTATATGAGAGAGTTTTTTCATACACTAGAAGGATTTTAACTCTTCACTTACATATGCATTTCACTCCATCCTTATCATCTAGATTAGTCTTGGATGATTTTACATTTTCAAAATTTTAAGCTATGCAACATTTGCTTCTTATTTCATCTATATTTTTATCACTTTTTTTTTTTGCCAGCATCTACATTTTTGTCACATGAGCTATGGTTAGAATTATAAATTAAAGATTTAAAATTTCTTCTGCAAATAATATATAATATATTTAATTTTTATTTTTGATGAAATCAGAATTTTTAAAAAATTAAGTTAATTAAATATGTTTTATAAAGACTGAGAAATAAGCTATTAGCTCAGATTTTAGTTATAAACTTATATATTAATATTAATATTGATATTGATAAAGTTAGTTAATTTTATTTCTATTTTTTTAAATATTTTTAATTTTTTTTGTATAATCTAAAAATTATATCAACTCATCTTGTTAAACTAATAAATTATTAAATTAATATTTTAATTAATTTAATAACTTTTTTATTTATAATTGACTTGATTAAACTACAATTTTAATAAGTAATTCTTAAATAAATATTTTTACCCATTCAATGATCGGTCTTTCAGTACTTGGTATTTTGTTTTGTTTTTGTTTTTAAAATTTAACAGCTTGGGTCCGTGTTTGATGAATCAAACGGAGAGCCTTTTTATTTTTGTCAAAAATAAAATAAAATAATAATAATAATAAATAAACGCAAAAACAGAAGAAAAAAAGCAAAAAAGAAGAAAAATTAAACGGATAGGCTCGAGTCGAGGTGCTCAGCCCCTTCCTCCTCCTTTCTCTGCTCTATCCGACGAAAATGGCTTCCTCTGCGACCACACCATCCTTCTCCTTCTTCTCATCCTCTATCTTCCTCTCATCATCTTCCTCCCAATCCCACAACAGATTCTCTTCATTCACATTCAGACCCAATTCTTTTACTCCCACTATCCCCAAATCGCTCTCCATCACTTCCCAGCTTGCCACACTCCCTGTCCTCTCCTTCGACGGCGAAAAAGTCGGCGAAACCCACCTCGACCTCAAAGCGGCGCCACCCGACACTGCACGCGCCGTCGTGCACCGTGCTGTCGTCACTGACCTCCAGAACAAGCGCCGAGGCACTGCCTCCACCCTCACACGTGCCGAGGTCAGTGGCGGTGGCAGGAAGCCTTACCCACAGAAGAAGACCGGCCGTGCTCGTCGTGGGTCGAATCGGACCCCGCTCCGAGTTGGTGGAGGTGTTGTGTTCGGGCCTAAGCCTAGGGACTGGAGCATCAAGATTAATCGGAAGGAGAAGAGATTAGCGATTTCTACGGCATTGTCTAGCGCGGCGGTGAACACGATTGTTGTGGAAGAATTTGGGGATAAGTTTGAGAAGCCCAAGACGAAGGAGTTCATTGCGGCAATGAAGAGGTGGGGGCTTGACCCGAAGGAGAAGTCTATGTTCTTGCTCACTGAAGTTTCGGATAATTTGAGGCTTTCGAGTAGAAACATTGGGACTCTGAAGATGTTGACGCCTAGAACGCTTAATTTGTACGACATATTGAATGCTGATAAGTTGGTGCTAACGCCTTCTGCTGTAGATTATTTGAATGAGAGATATGGGATTGATTACATTGGAGACACTGAGGATGAGGATGAAGATGAAGTAGATGGTGAAGTTGAAGGTGACGAAGGTAAGCTTTGAGGATAATAATAATAATTAATAAAAAAAAAGTTGTGATCTTAGTATCATTCATTATGCTTAACGTTAATTGATGCATGAATATGGATATGGTTACATTGTTACAAAACAAGATGTTAATGCAATTTGGACTTTGGAGTATCGCATAATATATTAGAAGCGATATGACTCCATTTTTAAGCATCAATGGTCTTGGCTGCAACTCCCTGATTTTTCTATGGGGCATTGTCAATTTTCACTCTTACAGGCACTCAGTAGTGTTGAATTCTGTTGTTTCATATTCAATATGATACAATTTGAAGCAATAGTTCCTTAGATTTGGTTTCTTTTAACATGCCTTGGAAATAGATTGTGCTTGTTTAATGCATGATGATTTCACTGGGAGATTGATCCCCTGCATTTCTTTGGGAGAATATTAAAAACATTAATTGCTCTGCAAAATGTCAATGGAAAATAATCATACAGTGCGAAAATTCTGTCTTTTTGAAGAATTTAAGGTCCGAAATATGAAATACATCACCATTCATCTATTTTACATGCAAAGAGATACTTTTTGACACACCATGCATACCATTCCTTGTGCCTCTGCAGAATATAAATGCCATCTAGTCGTTCAAGTTATCTTCAATCGAAGTATTCTATTAAAGTAGCCAAAATTGCATGGACTCTATTTAATCAGTAGTTCTTCAATTGAACACTGTGCTGCTCCTGAGAAACATCTCATCACTCATCAATTGGCTTTAGTTATCTAGATTGTAGACCATGTAGATTCATAGGTGACTCTTTGGGAATCTATATTCTTGAGAGTTTGAGCACTTTTGCCTTATTAAATCTTATAGAGTTTTTAAATTACAATGTCCTTGATTCTGCATGTGTTGAACACTGAGGCTGTTCACAGTTTGTTATATCTAACTTCTAGATGTGGTTCTATGTTGGGATTTGGAATTCAAAAGTATGGGAAAGAAGATAATGGGATGGTTGAAATAGAACCAATCCTCTGTTATTTGCTTGGGTGTTTGGTTGCTCCCAATAGCCTGAATCTTGCATCTATCTGTAGATGGCATGAATCAGTTTACTTCCTGAGTTCATGACTTCTGTAACTTACCCCCTCCGGTCCTGTTTAAGGATTTTTTTGATCTTTAATATAAGATACTTGATGGGGTATTAATTCCGTTTTTCCAATATTACTCCAATTTGAAATCATTAACTATGAGAGAGAATGTAATGCAAATTTAAAAATTTTCCATTTAAATAAGGGTGAAATTGAAAGTTTATTTTATTTTCAAATGATGTTAATAACTTAACCACCTATCCCTTGTTGGTTCTGATGAAGTGATTAGAGGTGCCTTATAATATGAACAAAAAAGAGTTTATTTTCAGAATATGTTCGTAACAGTTATTATGGCCTCTCATAAAATTTTCTGCACACTTTTAAATTTTAACGTTCATGATTACTTGACTATATATTTCCATGTGATGTTTAATAGCGCAGAACGGTGCTTCATGACAGCATAGATTTTTGAGGTCATAGGCCTTTGCTGAACTTGGTCCTTTTTTGATATGCAGGAACTGAGGGAGAGGAAAGTGCTGATGTGGTGGATTAAGGATGTGGAGTATTGTTTGTACCATTTAGATGTTTTTTTTTCATCTCCATTACTACTGAGGATCGAAAACCAGGTTTTACCTTTAGGATCTGTGCCTTTATGCCACTAACATTCATATGCGATTCTGCAGGCTGTATAACATGCTGCTCAGTGTAGTCTGTTCCAACGATTTTGTTTCACATAGCCCTTTTTCATGCAATGTATGTATAATCAATCTTATATATTAATCCCATCCTTTCATGATTGTTGTATCCATTCTTATCCTTTTATAAAGAGGATACTGTTTCGCTTCCGATCTTTTGAAACCTTTCTGCTGTATCTTACTTTGGCTCCTTATCTCTTAATTCGCTCCTCTTATTTATAAGGGAACCAATTTTAGTGTGGTGCTCATTAGAGTGATGAAATATGAGTCCAATGTTAAAGGTTATATTTTTATTTTTATTAAAATAAAAGTTATAAAAAATTTTATAAATTCAATTTATCATCTATTTGAACAATATAAATTTAATTTAGATAGTTTAATTAAATATTATAAATTTTTAATCAGGGTGATGAACACTGAAATTGATTTATGTTTGTAAGTTACTTTTAATATATTTTATTGTAATTAAAAAAAATTTAAAACTTATTAATTATGTCTAAAAAATTAACAAAGTTTTAACTCAACTTTTATTAAATACACATCCTTTAATAATATTTTTTTCTCACTAACATATAATAAAGGGTAAAATGAAAAAATAATGATAAAAAATTAATAACATAGTTTCTAAATGAGAGTAAAATTTTTTCTTTTTGTCTTGTAGATAAAATGGAAGAGAGTATTTGCTTATTGTTGATGTATGTTTACTGGTGATAAGAAACTTGATATGGTTAGGATATGTATCTCATGCTAACCAGAATCTTATGGACTGTTTCGTGTTTGAGACTGAAATTGATTTTGATATAATTTTTAATTGAAATATGTATTTATAATGTGAAAAGACAAAAACATCATGTGAAGAACTTTTTTGTTTTTAACAAAAGCATCTCTCTGCCACCGCATTGGAACTCTAGTAAACAGGATCGGAAATAATTAGAAAGTTGAAATGTTTGCTGTTGGTTTTTTTTTTTGGGACAAAGACATTTTTTGAACAAAGTAAATGAATACAAAAGCCCAAGAGGAATACTTCTAGTCTTTTTTTAGGCCCTTGAACTAAAAACAGAATAGAAGGCCGTAAAAATTACAATAACTGGGCCGAAACAGAAACAAACAACAACAACTGAGTAGAAACAGAAAACGACAAAAACAAAAATAAACGAGTTGATCCAAGGAAAACCATTTGCCGCGAAAGAGCCATCATTGATTGAAATAAACTCATAACACATTAGATGGATCACATTGGGTGTTGGAGTTAAAAT